CAGCTGGATGTGCTTATCAGGGAAGTGATGCTGTACACTGCTTTGGATTGCAACAGCTTCTAAGTGGAGCCAGCTCTAAATCCCATGGAGCTTGTTGTGCTCCATCCCACACCTGTCTGGAAACCACTGGCTTTGTAAAAACAGTATCCAAACCTGTACAACTGGGGCAGGAATGGATCAGCAGCACATTTCTTACTGAAGTCTCAGAGCTCCACAGTTCTATAATCCACTCTTAGTTACACCCAGTTTTCCTCGTGATTAAGTGAAACATTTTTTTAACAGCATTAACTACGATAAGTATTTACCTTCCCTTAAAATAAAGTGATCAGTTTTCAGAACCACCAGCCTTATCAATAAGCTGCAGTCTAAACTCTGTGTCAAGCTATGCCTGTTAATGAATACTTCACACAGCTTTCTCAACTCAGCTGATGAAATCAGAACAATACAATACAGGAGTGTTGTACGAGAAACTACTGGGAGTCAAAGAGGAGAAACCAGAGCAAGTTTATGGGCCACAGTAATCAGGCAGCTGACTCTTTCTATTAATGCATCCTATCAGTATGTCTCTTTCCTTAACTTTTATCTACTGGAAGAAATGACGAAGAGAATGGAAGACTTGGAAAACAGGCTAAAATACTGATCAGAATTTAAAGTGTACACTACGCTGTATATTTATACATACACACTTGTCAGAGCTATTTTCTTAAAGTGGATCAAAGTAAAATAACAAATCCTTGTGTCTGAAGCTGGTAAGAGTATTTTGGATCCTTGCATCTATATGCCATGCGTTCTGTCTTGCATTGACTGCAGATAAGAAGTGTTGAAAATTTTATATATATAAACAATTTAGTAACTAGCAAAAGTTCTAACTAAGCAGAACTAAACAACTGAAATAAGCTATGCAAAATAATAAAATGCTGTTATTTTTTGAAGTGAAACCTCCATGTTTTGCAATACTTTTAGGGTATGAATTTATTGGCCTTGCTTTTCTGTATTTCCCTCCTCCACTCTGCTATTATTTTAAGCCCCCAATCTGTGTGGATATATATGTATACATATCTGTTTTATCTATACATACAGAGATAAAAACAGAATAAGTGGAACAGCATTCACAGCCACTGGAGTCTTCAAACAAGAGCAGACTACTGAAATCAGTTGGAACTAAAAATACAAATTTACACATTTGTTTAAACTGAGATGAAAGTAAACCCACAAAGGAAGTCTGCTGGATTATCAGGGTATCACAATCCCAAATTTCAAGTACTTTTATCACATCCAGACTACACTGCTTCTCCCTGCTGTCCCTTGGTCAGCATTCACTGATTCTCTAACTTTCCTGACAGCAGCTAGCAATTTAATTATGAAGAAATTCCTTGGTCAATATAGTTAGCTGCACACCTGTTTGTCAAACGCTAACATAAACAAACCAGCAAGTTGCTTCCAGCCACTCTGGCCAACTGAAGTGCCTTGAAGTTTTACTCCTTTCCCTTGGCTGCAATGGCAACACTTCTGCCAGCTTTACTTTCACACTAATGGCAGTATCTAACCCATCTCTTGAACTGATCCAAATCTGCAGTTTAAGAGGCAGAGACGCCAGCACTTCCTCCTTTGCTCTGACACACTGCTCTGCCTCTTCACTATCTCCTAATGTAAAGACACAACCTTAAACATTCTATAAAATAATCAGTAGTTGCAGCAGAACTAGAGGAAGTGATCTCATAAGCCAATGAGTGTGCATAGATATGTAACAGCAAGCTTTGAAAGGTACTCTGTGCTTTGGCATATCTTGGAAATAGACAAGTTCTGCAAGAACAGGGTACAGACTGATTTTCATGAGGTGCCTCAGAAAAGCACTGGCACCTCAGTTAACAATCCCTAGTAATGAGGAACATCCTACAGTTGGGGTCTCAAATAAAACAGGTACAAATCTCTAAGATAATGATGTCCTCAGCAACAGGGACCTGAGAACTCAATTCATCCGACATCTTCAAAAAAATGAAAAAAAAAAAAGATACAAATTCAAAATCAGCTTTGCAGTTAACTGATATCTTATTCAAAGTCTGATGCTGTACATCTAGCCACTATCCTATGTGCCATTTTCCACATACACACTCGTGGAAGGAAAAGACAGGGGATAATGTGCATTAGTACTCTGTGACTCACTTGGTAAAAATGGTGTGGATGTGTTTTAGTTAACTCAGTGTAAGCAAACCCTTTGGGATCCCCAAAAAAACCATCCCGAATTTGCTACTGTACCTCACGTTACGCCTTAATTTTGCATTAGCACTCCAAAACCAAGCACTAAGAAGTCCTAGCCAGCTGGGATTTGGAACCACACTTGCCATGATCAAGCCTTCCTCCACTTACCTCTCAAGATCCACCACTTCTACAGAAAGAAACAGGCAAGCTTTGTCCCATGAAGGTTATTTCTAACAGAACAGGAAACACAGCAGTGGTAATCAGTCTTCATTTATATGGTTTGTTCCCTATAACCAACAAAGGTATAATACAAATTTTTCTTAAAACAGATCTGTAACCAGTTTTATTGTAGAAAAAACACCTTTACAGCATTTACTTCTCACTGGTCTGTTCTGGCATGCTTCTGATGATGTCAGAGTCGCCTGCAAAGCAAAAATACATTGTTACAAAATGACCCACAGAAAAATGTGTGCCAAGAAATGCCAAGAAGTAAGAAAAAACCCCACTCACAAAACCCCCACCCAAAGTGATAACAGAAATGTAAAACAAGTTAAAAGTAATACAGACTCTGTTTAGGAAAAAAGCAAGTAATTTTGATGCATTGCTAAAAATACCTGTGTTTTGCTAATCCAAACACAGTATTTTACAGTAATTCTGTACTTGTCACTAGCATGTACAAAACCAGTACTAGAGCAGGGATCTAGTCCTGGAGGACACAATGCATAGCTTTACTGTAGCGAATGTCTAGCCTCCCCTGATCACAGACATATCAGGACAGCGAGAATATTCGCACTGTGTTACTTACACAGCAGCAACATTTACCTGCAGCTCCTACCTCACCCAAAATCAAACCTAAAAATAACACTCTGAATATTAAGTTTACAGCTACTATTTGAATATAAGCAAGCTGAACTAAGTTTTGTGAAGAAAGAGCGAATTCAAACTGATGTTACTTGGGGAACATTTGGTGAAAGCTATTACAGAAATCATTAAATCTATGTATATACGTTCTGGTCAACAAACAGAACAAGACTGATTCTTCTCTTAGAACATTCTGGAAAGAAGATGGCAAGTCACCTAATTAGCAGTCCATATTAGGAACTCGAGCAACTCTCTGAGACAATGAGTGCTACCAAACCATAGTAATTGCACACAGACTTAGAGTTTTAAAATAGAAGTGTCTGATATAATTTCCAACCCTTGATTAGTATCCACTTGCATGTAGGTGATTTCTGTATATGCCACTCTGTAAAGGAGGACAACTCACAATCCTTTGTCTTAGACTAAGAACAGTTAAACAGGGCTGATGTAAACACCAGGATGCACAAGCTCTTATCCTAGCTGATGCTTTCAGAAACATGTCCCACAAAGCTGCTTCCTGGACACCAAAACCTCACTACAGACT